TTACCTAACAATTAGTAAGGAACCTTCCACGTAAGTTACTCGTTGTTATAACACCTAAACAAGACCCACCAGTGCACTACTTTAAAAAAAAAAAAAGGTATGAGGGGGAATCTTACCCATCCTAATTTTTTAACCTGGTTTTAGAGTTATTCTATTCTGACCCTCACCTAACTTTTTTTTCCCCACTGCTGCCCTAATAGTCCAGCTACTGTGTAACATTGATTCCGTGTTCCCACCTTAGAGCCTTTACTCATGCAGGTCTTTCTGCCTCTCGTTTCCCTTCAAGACTTTGTTTCTCAGCCTAGTGGAATGCTTTCTGCCAGTCAGTCCCCAGCTCTAATGCCACCTCCCTCTTAAAGTCTTCCCTGTTCCCTGGGATTTGGGGCCAGTACCCCTTACTAGATTGTGGTCAATTGAGAGCGAGGACTGTGTTTTACTTTGCCCTGCCTGCTTTGCCACAGTGCCCCACACGTAGTTTAGTATGTCCTAAACAGTCTCCAAAGCCACTGTAGATTTGGGTGCCACCAGAGGTGCAGTATCTTTGCTTCCTGGCCTACTTGCTCTTAGTGTCATAATATATCTGGCTTTTTAGAGCTTCACGTATGAAGCTATCTTGCTTCTCCTTACAGTCACTGTGCCACTGCCTTTTCAACCACCAGGACTCATCACCTCAGAAACACTTGGGCTTTATGAAACCTAATAGCACCTTCCCCAGGGCTTCCCTTAGCCTCTTTCGTACCTGTTTTCTTGGCTTTTCCTTGCCTCCTGCCAAGTACATGGCTCAGTTGTCAGTGTTAACTAGCCGTCATCAAATGAATCCTAAAATTCCCCACCATTGCTGCCTGAGGCAAAGAACCTTTCCAGTGCTGACACCCTCCCTTTAACAGCCTGTTAGCTTGTTGTCGGGGCTGGAAACTTAGAGCTCCAGTTCCTGTTCCACTTCACTGTCTGCCCATCTGGCTGCACTGCCAGATGTTGAGGAAATCAGCTTTGCCTCAGGCTATCCCCTGTGGAAACTGCACCCTCTGATTCTTGTCAGCAATTTGAGGAAGGGGACTGAGCATTGGGCTGAAGATCAGAAGTTCTGGCTCTGCCACCAACAAACCCTGTCTCCTTTAGGCAAATCCTTTCTCCTCCATAGTGAAATAGAGAAGTTAGAGTAGCTGATCCCAGGGACCCCTTCCAGCTCCAACATCCTACGTAACTCCTAGGTGAGTCTGCTCACTCATTTTTCAAACACTTACTGAGCATCTCTCCTGTCATAGGCCTCGCCCTAGGCACCTGGGAAATAAAGATGATCCAGACATGGTCTTTGCCCTTAAGGAGCTCTTAGGTCAGTGTGGCAATCAGACATTTTAGCAAAAAATTGCTATCTAATGTATTAATGGAGATTAAGGGATCACAAAGAAAAGACCTTTTAAATCTCTGGGGAGGGCAGGGAAAGCATGATATAGGAGATGGTGTGCACACTAAGTCTTAAAGGATGAATGCAAGTTTATCAGATGGATGAGGGAGAAAGGAAGAGGGAATAGCATGTTCAGAGGTACGGAGTATGAAGCAGTATACTTTATTCAATACATTGCAGGTAGTTCAGAAGAGCTGAATTTATGGGGTATGGATTGAAGGGTCAGAATGAGAAGCAGGAGCTGATAACAAAGGCCTCTAACATAAGCTCTGCTAAGGAAATAGAACTATCCCCCAGTGGGAAACCATTAAGATTAAGGGGAGGGAAGGATCAGATTTATGTTTAATGTGAAAGATGGTTTAGAAGTTTCAAAAATGTGTATCAGTAATTGAATAGATAAGTAAATTATGGACTGTTCACACAATGGAATAATATATAGAATGAATGAATGAACGAACAAATGGACTCTTCCTCAGCATGGATGAGTCTCACCAACCTAACATTCTGGACACAAATCAGACTTGGAAGAGTACTAACTATATGACTGCATTTGGATGCATAGTTATAGTTCAAAATAGAAAAAACTACCTAGTGTGTAAGAAGTCAGGATGGTGGATTCCCTCAAGGGGGCAGGTATGACTGGAGAGGGCATATAGGGGCTTCTGATACGCATAATGTTCTGTTTCTTTATCTAGATGCTAATTATGCATCCAACTGTGGAAGTTCTTTGAGCTGTACCCTTATACATTTTTTTGTACTTTTCTGTATATATGTTATACTTGAAAGAAGTTTAGAGAAAAATAGGGGGAAAATGGATTAGGAGGGGCATGATTGGAGAAAGGGAAAGTATTTCATTTGAAAGCTATTTTAATTGTCTCAGTGAGGCCTAAACCAAGGCAGTTGCAGGGGGGAAAAGAGAGAAGGGGACTGTTTCCAGGATTTAGGAGTAGAGTCAATAGGATCGGATAGTGAGAGAAGAGTAGTCAAGATCAGGTCCAGATTCTGGACTGGTTGGCTCAGTAGATGGCATGCACCTGTGCTGAGGTAAGAACTACTGGGAGAAGGTATGGGTGGATTGGAGGTACAAGGGAATGATCGGTTCTGCTTTGAACATTTTCTTCCTCCTTTCCTCATACTTTTAGATTTCATTTTCCAGTGTTCTATTCCCTTGCTTCTTTGTCCTTTCTTTGTACTCATCTGATAAAACACTAATCCTAGTTAAGCCCAATTTCTTTGCACTTCATGTCTGTATCTGAAGAGCTGAATATTGTTGGAGAAAAAAGTCACACAACCAAGCTAACTGGACTCACTTTACATTTATGTCCTTGAATCTCAGACACTCAACACTGCCAACCACCCAACTACACTTCGTGAGTAAAATCTGGACCAAGGCAACTTTTTTATACTTTCTCTCTCCTGAAACCCCCAGCACTCTCCTTCCCCAACTCTCAAACTAATGATCTCACCTCACACTTCAGGAAAATAGATTGCAATCAGAAGGGAATTCCTTCATCTTCCCATTGTCACTTCCTGTCTGCATCTGTACCTCTGTATGCTGCCTTCCCTCTTCTACAGTGGAAGAAGTTCCTAAGATCACCTCTGCTTTTGGGCTCAGGCTCCTGCTTCCTCTCACTTTCTCAGGTACTTTGCTCCTTCGGCGATCCCCTGTCTTTCCTGCATGATCTGTTTTCTCCTCTCTGCTGGCTTGTTCCCATCAGCATAGAAACATGTCTTAATATCATCCATCTTAAACAACAAAGCAAACTAAAAACTTCTCTTGACCCCCATATCTACCTCCAGCTGCTGCCTCATTTCTTTGCATCCCTTCATGGTTTAAAGTCCACCACTTAATTCACTTCCCCAGCTCCAGTTTTTCCTCAGTCTTAATGTATCATGGCCAAAATGTCTTTTGTTTTTCTCCCAAGATTGACATCCCCTAAATCTTCCCCATCTCAATAAATGATACAATCATCTACCTAGTTTTTGGGCCACAAAGCTTAGAGTCATCTTTGAATTCTCTTTTTTCCTTACACTACCTATCAAATCCTTCAGTAAGTCCTGTCAGCTGTGCTTTTTTCTTTTTTTTTTTATAAGGTTTATTTATTTCAGTGGAGGTACTGGGGATTGAACCCAGGACCTTGTGCATACTAAGCACCCACTCTACCACTGAGCTATATCCTCACCCTGCCACCCCCTCACCCCCACCAGCTGTACTTCTAAAGTACATCTTGAACCATTCCTTTTTGCCTTTCCCAATGCCTAGACGATCGCCACAGCTTCTTGACTAGTCTCACCATTTCCATTAGTGTCTCCCTGAATCCATCCTCCAAATAACTGCCAGGGAGATCTTTTAAAATCATAAACCCTGTTTCTCTCTTATTTAAAACCTTCTGTTGGCATACCAGTGAACCAAATTAAAATCCAGATTTCTTACCAGAACCTACAAGGCTCTATGTGACCTAGACCCTGCCTGCCCCTGTGACTCATCTCTAGCTACAACCCCACCTGGCTTGATCACTGCTCTCCAGTGGCCTTCTATCGTCCCTCAGGCACACCGAGCTCCTTCCCACCTCAGGGCCTCTGTACCAACCTCTCCCAGTGATGGCAGCATCTTACCCATGGTAATTCAGGTGTCAACTCAGATGTCCCTTCTTCAGAGAGGTCTTTTCTGACCACCATAGTGAAATAGCTCACCCAGTCACTTTCTATCATACAACCCGATTTTATATTCTTCATGGTACTTATCAGTCCCTAAAATCATGTTTATTTGTTTACATGTTTGTCACCTCCTTCTCTCCCAACTGGGATGTAAGCCTTGTGATCAGAGACCTTGTGTCTTTATTTTACTGCCATACACAGCTCCTAGGAAAACAGTCATGCTGGCCTGTGATTGATAAATAGCTGCTGACTAACCGGGCAGCCTGTGGGACACTCCTGTAGGGATGTGTAGCAGACAGTTGGCTCAATGGGCTGAAGCTCAGGAGAGACAAGACCGTAAGTTGGATGTGAAGATTTGAGAGCTGTCAGTCTCTTGGGAGTAGTGGAATCTGACTTAGTCTGAATTGTCCATGGAAAGTTATAGAGTGAAAGAGGCCTAAGGACACAACTGAGAGAACCTACATGTCAGGTGTGAACATGAGAAGAGGAGCCAGTGCAAGAGATTCAAGGGAACAGAGAGGGAAGAGAAAAGCAGAGACAGTGGAGAAGGGGTTGCTTTAAGGCCGTGCTTCTCAAACAATTTGTGAAAAACCTATCTTTTAACAATGCTTCTGTAAAATACGATGAAAACAAAATATTAGAAAAATTTTATTTTAAAAAGGCATACAAACTGTTGAACCAAATTTGTCATTAGGTTCAACAGATAAAATTACTCTTAAGTTGCTATAAAAGTTTCCACACACTTACTCTCACTTACTATGCTTATCTCATCAGGGACTGGTAACAATGCTCACACACCAGCACCAGTACCTGAACTACAATTTAAGCATCGTTGCTGTAATGGTACTCCTGGGCAAGAGTGGAAGACGAAAGAGCAGAATATAGCCTCTGCCCTCAAGTAGCTTACAGTACTGGGATACACAGATACACTGCATGGCAGAGGTCAGAGCACTGCCATTACGATGCAGGAATTGGGGACCATGATCTGCCCCAGTTCTGCCACCGTCTCATCCCTTTAGGACCTTTGGCAGATCACAGCCCCTCTGTGACATTACTTTTTTCATCTATATGGTAAGGAAATCATGTCAGATGTTTGGATGCTAAAGTTTTCTTCCAGTTGTTTGAACGCAGAGCTAAAAACCGTCCATGCCAGCAATTTTCTGTGGGAGGAATGGGGAGTGACTGTTAATGAGTGCAAAGTTTCTTTCAAGGATTTGAAAATATTCTAAATTAGATTATTGTGATGGTTACACAACTCTGTAAGTAGACTTTTAAAAACTGTTATATGCTTTAAATGGGTAAGCTATGATACATTTATGCATATGATAAATTTATCATTTATGATATGTAAAGCTATTTTAAAAAAAGAAGAAAGAAAAAAAATCCTCCATCACTCAAAACCAGAAAAGATTGGCTTGAAAGGTGACTGGTTGCAGGCTGGAAAGTTGATTGTGTATAGGAGGAGCCCCTCTGTTGTATATAAAAGCTTCTTTTTAAAGAATACTATTGAAAACTTACCTATAAAAATTTCTCTTGCCCATACTGGTCTTTTTATTGATTTCCAGTAATTACTTTAAGTGTAGCACTCCCCATTCTTGTGAAGCTTGAAGTCTGGCAGAGTATTAGACATTAGGCAAATAACCACAAAATTACTAGCTAATTAGCACTGAGATAAGTATTATTAAGGAAGAGTTGAGGGTACCAGGAAAGTGTAATGGAGATCTAATCTAGTCTGAAGCGGGTGAGGGAAGTCTTCCCTGAGCAAATGGCATACACGTGGAGACCTGAAGTATAGATGTTAGCCTGTCACTTAACTTGAGGAAAGCCTGGGGAGAGTGATGGCTATTAGTCATCTGAAGGGACCCAGCAGTCTAGTCAGGGACACCATGGGGCATGGAGGGATTTTGTGCTGCTATTGTTACAGTTCATGGTCAGGGCTAAAAGGGATCATCAGTGTCCCTATGTCCTGTCCTCTACCCTTGGCCTAGTCAGCCCCTGAACCAGTTCAGAATGGTGAACTTTCCTTGCTTTCCCCCAGGGAAAGGTATTTCTGTATGCCAGACTCTGTGGACATAGAAGAGTTACTAAATAGTTAGAGATGAGCACGCCCTGGGTACCAGAGCCCAAGCTCTCCAGAGCCACCTGCCATCCAGGCACCCGCATTTCATCAAGGCTTTAATCGGCTCCAAGCAGTCCACGGATGAGCCTGGCGGGTATCCGGCATGACCTCATCACCACCAACAGTGGCAGCTGGAGGCCGAGGCTCCCTTGGGTAAGGGAGAGGTCAGCATCAGTTGGGCCGGGTCTGTTGTGTGTTCTATGCTCTCCTTCACCTGCACTAGGCCTGGAAACATCTGAGTAGGATTCCGATTTCCCACGGCAGGGCCAGCTGCCCTTTGCCAGCCCACTCATGCCCCTCCAGTGAATATACTCTTGTGCAGAATGCACAGAGAAGGGAGAACACTGCATTTTAAGATAGGGGACATCAATCTGAAGGTCAGGGCCTGCCGAATAGCAGCAGAGACCCATCCCAGGGTCAGATGGGTCAGAACCAAGGTTCCCTTCCCTAAAGGAGTTTCCTTCAAGGAGAATACAGCAGAGATACTCTCTATAGGCTGATCCCATCATCACTTTACTGAACATTGTTTGAAAATGAATTCTTTAACATGTAGCAGAAGGAGCTTGCCACTTTAGGAATCCTTCAGAGACTCCCTTTGAAATAATGAGCCGTGTGCAGTGGGAAGTGCTGACTGGGCTCAGGTGACCTGCACTAACTCGACCTTGCTGTGGGACCT